TTTCATAATCTTTGCTTGAGTGGTCTAATTTGTCCATTTTATCTTCCAGCCTTGATATTCTGTTTTCCATCATTCATCTTATTGTTGAGGCTTTCTCCTATTGTTTCTAATTGGCTTACTGAGTGTTCACTTCCTTCTTCATTTCAGCCTGAGTAGTCTTCAATGTTTCTAACTCTTTTCTGAATTCATTCAGAAGTTTATCCCTATCTTCCTTCAGGTCTTTGATTTCTTTGTGTATTCTTTAAATTCACCAAATTCTTCTATCATGTTTATAATTCTTTTGACATCCATGTCCTGTGTTATCTCTAGGGGCTTTTCATTGTACTCCTCTAGAGGACTATTGGTACTTGCTGAGGATATAATATTTTGGTTTTCCATGTTATTTTTTCTCTGTAACTTTGACATTTGTATTTCTTTTGTAGTTTCTGATTCTTGTGTGCGATTCAAGTCTTCCTTTGTTGAGTTTAGGGCTGCTTATTTTTGTAAACTTTTTGTGCCTTTGTGGTTTACTTGTTGGGCATGAAAAGCTAGTCTGTCTAGGCTTTATGTTCTCTCTTTTGATTTTATATTGGAGTGACCAAATTGCTTTCCTCTTTAGGAGTTCCCACAGAGACTCAAGTCAGATGAGGATCAGATGCTCTCAGCCTTTCTTCTAAGGTCTGGATCTCTTCAGGAAAGATGCTGCCCTCAGGAATTTGGGGGCTGGGTTGGCCTGGAAGCCGGGCCGAGGAAAGATGCTAGCACCAGGACACTGGAGGCTGTGTATCCCAGGGAAGCAAAGTGGGGTGAGGGCGGGACCAAACCCAAAGGGCTCCTGGGCACTGCAGGGAGGGATTGGATTGGCCTGGATGCAAAGGGTCAGGAAGCAGTGGCGATTCTGGACCTAGAGGTCAGTCCAGGAGTCTGGGGTTCCCTGACAAGAAATGGGCTAATAACCAGGCTGGAACGGCAGCTGGGAGGGTGAATGAGGCTGGGGGAGTCAAATCAGAGCAGGTGCAGTACCCACCCAGGAAAGATGCTAGCACCAGGAATGACTATGAATTTTTTATACCAGATAACATAATTCATTTGAAATTTGGGAGGTTTTAATGAATATATAACCTGTAACATTTTTTGTTTGTTTTTTTTACATCTGTGGCTTAAGCTAGAGTCTTGATACTAAAAAAATGTTAATGTTAATAATATCTCACAAATATGAAGAATGTAAAATGTGCTACTATTTTGAAATTGTTATTTTTATTAACAAATTTGTGGGAAATTTTTATATTTTCTGGCTTCTTGATGTGGTTTTTCTGCACCATGTAACACTAATCATACACATGAAGACTTGTGTGATAAGAGATATAGCAGCTTTGTTTAGTTAGATTCCTGGTGTCAAGGAAAACCAGGATTATAGAGGACATGGGCCAGGGGCTAGATGAAGCCAAGTCTTCTTTTGGCTGCCCCACATCTGAGTGCCAGTCTGTACTGGTGAACTTGTAAGTTATTTAGTTTAGCTTAGCTTAGTTTTGTTTTTCCATGTAGTTACAGTCTAGCTAATATGCTAAGGTTGTTTTCTTCCAGTTGACTTCCTGAAGGAATATTCTACAGTACTTTAGAAGTAGAATAAGGTGTTGGGACTGGAGAAATGGCTCACTAGTTAAGAGCACTGGCTGCTTTTACAGAGGACCTGGGTTCAGTTCCCAGCACCCACATGGTGGTTAACAAATGTTCTCAACTCCAGTTCCAGGGGATTCAGTGTCCTCTTTTGATCTCCACAGGCATCATACACACGTGGTTCATTTACATACATTCAGGCAAAACATTCATACACAGAAAAAAGAAAAATAAAAAAAGAATAAGGTGTTGCAGTTCATTGTTTCTATTTCTAAATTTTATTTTATGTTTTAAGTATCTTATTTGTTATTTTTATTTTATGTGTATGAGTGTGTTGACTGCATGTATATAAGTGCACCCATGTCATGCAATGTCTGCAGAAGAAGCCATCGACTCCCCTGGAACTGGAGTTTTGGACTGGTTAGCTGCCATGTGGGTACTGGGATTCAAACCCAGGTCTCCTGTAAGAGCAGCCAGTGCTCTAAACCCCTGAACCATTTTTCCAGCACCAAACTTTATTTCCTATTTTGTATGAGTATGTGCATGCATATAGAGGTCAGAGGACAACTTTGTGAAGGTGGTTTTCTCCTTCCACCTTTATGTGAACTCTGGAGATGGACCTCAGTTTCATCAGACTTGTTGAAGTGCATTTACCCACTGAGCCATCCCATCCCCCCTTCATTCTTTAGTGTAATTGTAATCTTCTCAACTACAAGAGTAAATAAAACCAAAATTTCTATGCCAAATCATGTTGACTAATTCATTTTTTTTGTCTCTGAAGCTTAATGCATGTGATGTAGTTGTTTATTATAATTTTTAAAACTGCCTTGAATAGTTAGCAAATATTACAAAAATATTGTTGAAGGAAGATTAATTTGTGAAGGACTCAAATTTGTAATATGATGATGATTCTTAGAAAGATGATGGTATTATTCAGAATGACTGCTATTGTCTTTGGAGGATCTGTTTTTAAAAATGTCTCCAGTTTAAATCTGAAAGCTTTTTCCCCAATGGTGGAACCCATTAAAATGAAATGCTGTGAAACACATTCTTTGTTTTATTCCACACATTTAGTGTCAAAGGGAATTTACTTTATTAAGAAAGAAAAATATAAAATTAACTCATTTTCTTTCTATTTCAGAGTGCCAATTGTTAGACCAGACGTGGCTAAGTGGGAGCTCTCAATAAAATTACATGATGAAGATCACACCGTCATAACCTCGAACAATGGGTCAACCTTTGCTGTGAGTTTATTTATTCTTTAATAATCTTGAGTTGTCTATGAAGCTGTAAAGTCCTTTTTGGCTTGGTTATGGCTTTTCTTCCTTAGCACTTCCAGTGAGGCTAGAAACTGATTTGCTTGTCTTTAGGAACTGAATAGAAATGGAGCTTTTTGTTCTCTTGTGTTGATTAGAAAACACACTTAGGTTTAGCCGCATCGTAAACCTTCTTCCTGATTCATTTTTGTTTAATGTTCACTGAAAAGTAATATTTTTGCCTTTGTTGTAGAGAAGCACATGATTAATTATAATTCCAGACCTGAGATAGCTGTGGTGGTGATGGGAAGCCTCGTGTAGCATCTTCGGATTTCCTTGTGACACTCTTGAGGCTTACTTTCCTTGTGGTACCATTCTTTTTGTCTGAAGAATGTGGACTCCTCATATAGCATCTATGACAGAACTCTGTCAGTTGGAATTCGGACAGTAGTGAATGAAGTTCAGTAAGATTTCAATTTTATGCTGTAGTATGAATGACGTGTTTAAAATCTGTGACTGGAGTTCACCAGACAAGCATGACAAAGAATCGCCATTTAATGTGTGTGTGGGGGGGTGTGCGTTGGCTGCTATGTAGTTAGTATAATACAAATTGGGGTTACCCACATTTCTTCTTTGGCTAAGTTGCATTGACATGCCATACTGTTTGGGGAAATAGATGCCTTTTTCTCAGAAGATTGAAGCAGAATAGGAAATAAAATAATGTAATTTTACTTTAAATCTGATGAGGCTTGAGGGGTGTATTAGGGTTCTCTAAGGGAACAGAATTATAAAGTATAATATATATTATATACTTAATATATATATAAGTGAACATATAAATATACATTATTTTATATATATATATATATATATATATATATATTTCAAGAGAATTTATTAGCTTGGCTTACAGGATATGGTCTGGGTTCTCCAACAGTGGCTATTTCACACTGGACAGGGCAAGAATCTAGTAGTTGCTCAATCCATGAGGCTGAATGCCTCAGCGGTCCCAGTGTGGTACTGAAGGCCTGGAGGATTCCCGGAAAACAGCTGGGTCTAATATCAGCAAAGGAACACCACAGCAATAGGATGGATGAACTTGCCAGTGAGAATAAAGGCAAGCAGGCAGAAAGCAAAAGTTTCTTCTGCCATGTCCTTTTATTGGGTTGCCCCCAGGTACTGCCCACATTTAGGATAAGTCTTCCCACAGAAGTGCCTAGAGGCTTGTGTTTGATTACAGATCTGGTCAAGTTGAGAACCAAGATTGGCCATCACAATGGGCTTGATTGTTTCTTGGTCTTGGTGAGAAAAAGCTACAAATTGGGGGTTCCTGAGAATTCATTTATTCAATAAATACTTACTGCATGCCTACTGTGTGTCAGAATAGTGCTAGGCTGCTGCCCTGCAGAAGAAAAGCTGACATTCTTATATGAAGTTTCCTTGATTTTCTTTTAAGTTTGTATCACATCCTATATGGCAAAATGCTTTGGTTACTGAAAGATTCTTCATTCAGTTCTTAAAAATGAAAGCTGTGATGGAGTCAATTATTTTATGATGTCTTTTGTGGTACATTTTGGGGGTCTTTATATAAAGTTCTCCCATCTCTAGGATTTTCTTTTCCTATGCATAACTTTGTAAGGGACACTTGATCATGTATTAAGTTGAATAGCAAGTTACCTGAACTGCTACCAAAGAGTTTTTCCACTGCATCCTGGGCGAAGGTTGACTCTGTAATGGTGTGACTTCAGCATACATCCCCCTGAAGCCTGACTATGTGCATAATCTAATACAGGCTGATTCTAAGGCAAGCCTGCCCCATCACTTCTCAGAGCCTGTACTTTTAAAAATACTTGTTTTCAATCTCATGTTAGAAACTGTGACTCCTAATCTGACTGTTCAAGCCATAGCTTTGCTTTTTTTCTCTGTAAAATAATCTACTTTACATTTTGACTTGTGAGGAAAACACATTGAAATTAGTACATTAAAATGAACCCTGGAAAACACGTACCTTAATATATGATCTAAAAAAACTTTTACATTTGTACTTTGCAGCTGTGGAAGCATCTGTTCCCAAGACAGAAGTCTGGCTGTTGGTGGTATAACTGGTTTAGCTGGGCATAGCTGGGCTGAGCAGCTTTGGTTTGGTAGGCAGCACTGTGTGGGTAAGACACTCTGGTATGAAGGCTTGTATAGTGTGATCCCTTCTCTTTTGAGGTCACCAAGAGGAGAACTATGACTGCATGGTTTTCTAGATTACCCATTACCATATCTAGAGAAAAATTAGCCTAAAAGTGACAGGCTGGGTTTGGGTTAATGACTCCAGACAAAGTATAAGCAAAGCCACATATATTTAGCTCAGAGTAAAGCTCAGAGACTCCACATTTTTAGAGTTTAAAATGGTTACTTATTGTAAGTTATAAGAGCTTTCAAATGAGGAGAGTATAACACACACACACACATACACACAGATTTCCTGTTATAAAGGAGAAATGTGCAGCTAAATTATCTCCTTATATTGCCCATTCTGCTCCCCACTTCCACTGAGGTGACAGTTATGTGTCCTGGTCTGTATTTACAACATATAACAGCACTATGGTAACTGTGAAAAGGAATAGTACGTAAGTGTACATGTATACTTCAGAAACTCCACAGAGCAAATACACCTGCATTTGTAATCACATCCCGAAGAATAAAATAGGAGTATGGATCTGGAGATACAGCTCAGTGGTAGAACATGTGCTTAGGTTTCATTAAACCCTAGGTTCAGTCCCCACCATAACAGCCACATACATATGCAATAGCCAAGGAGGCAAAAGATTTGTACATAGGAAAATATGCACTCTTTCTGAAAGAATTAAACAGGGCACAAATCTCATGTCAGGGATTTAAGAGTTAATAGGGTTAAGATGTGAATACTGCCCAAGGTGCCCTATAGATTCAGTGTAATCCCTGTGACTGTCCCAGTGACACTTATGCAGAAATAGGTAATTTACTCTGAAATTCGCATGGAATTTCAAGAGATCCTAAGTAGTCAAAAATCTAGAAATAGAAGAACAAAGTTGGTCTTATATATCCTGATCTTAAGACCTGATTACAGAGCTCTGGTTATTAAAACATGTGGTATTACCTGAAGAGAGATACATAGATCAGTATACTAGAATAGAGATCCCAGAAATAAACCTTTGGATACTTAGTTAAGTGATTTTTCGATAAGACCAGTAAGACTGTTAAATGGGAGAAAAGGACTATTTCAGCATATATTGGGGGAGGGGAATGAGTATTTAAATGCAAAAGAATCAGCTTAAACTCTTATGTTACTCCATATAGAAAAGCAACTCATAATGGATCAAAGATCTAAGGAAGCACTCAAGCAACAACTCCACAGAAAACCCTAAGGGAAGAGCAGTGGCTTCTTAGAATCACAGGCAATGAAAAAATATAACATTAAATATGACATGCAATTAAGCATTTCTGTGAACCAAAGACACAACCAGCAGAAGTGAAAACACAATATGCTGAGTGGGAGAAAATATTTGTAAATTATATATTTAACTTGGGTTAATATCTAGAGTATATGAAGGACTCCCACAACTCAATGGGAAAAAAATAACAGCAACAGCAAAAAAACCCCCACCCAGGGTTAAAGTGGTAGGAGACTTGGGTGTGTTGGCTCACATCTATAGTCTCAGTGCTCCAGAGTTTGAGGCAGGAAGACTGAAAATTTGTGGCCACCCTAGTCTACATAGTTAATTTGCTGCCAATGTGAGCTCCATAGGGCAACTCTATGTTAAAAAAAAAAATACATAAAATATTTTTTAATGTGGGGTTGGCAGGGCAGTGGCTCAGGGGTGGGGTTAGGGTAAGAGGTCTTTTGTGCAAGCACGAGAATTTGAGTTCAGATCCCTAGTACCCACATAGAAAGCTGGGTGTGGCTGCATGCATGCCTATATGCTGTAGGAGGCAGATACTGGAGGAACAGTAGGGCTTACTGAGTGCCAACCTACTTCCAGGCTCAGTGAGAGACCTCGTCTCAAGGGAATAATATAAAGAGAGGATAGAGCAGGACACCTGACAGCTTCCTCTGATCCCTGTGTGCATGCATGGACATGTACACTCTTCTAGTTTGCCTTCAATTGCTGTGACGAAACACTCGAACTAATACCAACTTGCAGGAGGGGTGGCTATTTTGCTTACATCTCCTGGGACACAGTTCATTAGAGAGCCCAAGGTAGGAACTCAGGGCAGAAACTTGGAGGCAGGAGTTGAAGTACAGGCCATGGAGGAATGCTGCTTACTGCCTCGCTCCTCTGGTCCCCACTCAACCTGCTTTCTTATACAACATAGGCCCACCTGCTCAGGGGTGGCACCACCTGCAGTGGGCTGGGCCCTCCCACATCACTCAGTAATCAAGAAGATGCCCCACAGACATGGCCTCAGGCCAGTCCACTGAAGAAAATTCCCCAATTGAGGCCCTCTCAACCCAGGTGTGTCAAGTTGACACTAAAGCTATCCAGCACACATACATACACAGACACACATTATATGGCACATATACCACACACACACATACATCCAAGGTAATTGGGGACAAGATTTGAATGGACACCTCTTCAAAAAAAAAAGATAATTAGCCAAGAATTGTAAGAAAATGCTCAACAACATAATCGCAAGGGGAAATGCCCATCAGGTGACTTGTATAGGTACCACTTCCCACCCATCAGGGACTGCTAGCAAGGACAAAGAAAAGAACAAGGCCTAGCTGTGAAAAAATTGAGATCCTTGTACACTCTTAGAGGAATGTCACAGCCACTGTGGGAAACAATATAAGGCATTCTAAAAACTCGTCATACCATGTAACCTAGCAATGCCACTTCTGTGTATAACCCAGAACATCGAAAGCAATCCCTATAAAACACATTTGTATATGTATGTTCATAGCATTATTCACAGTAGCTAAAAAGAGCCTAAGTACCTGTTGATGAATAAAA